TATGACAGCACACTGAGGTGGTAAGGCATGCAGAGAGCTGCATTGTCCCTTTAAATCCCAGCACGGTGCTGGTGGCTAACGATAACCCCGGATCACAGCAGCTCCCAAATCCCAAGAGCTAATTACAGGCAAACGCCCCTGTCATGCTGGAAACACAGGATATTTACAGCCTGTGACACCGAGACCTGCTGGTGAGGAATTGGGGCACCGTGGAGTGCGCTGGCATGGCACTGGGGAGAGTGGATGGTTTACAGCCATTGTGGGCAACCATTCCCCGAGTTCTTTCGGGTAAGGGAGATGGCTTTTCCCGAGTGTTCTTCGCTCCCCCACACTGGTGCCATTACCCAGTGTCGGGGGCAGGAGCAGGCAGGAAGCACGCAGGGAGCTGTTTGCTTTTCACCCAGTTCCTGGCGGGGTGCTTCCCAGCCAAAGCATACACAGATTTCTGGGAGAGGCTTGGATGTGAGTGCTCTGCTCCCTGCGGCCTCCCTGCTCCTTGCCCCATGCACACAGCTCTGGGAACCCCTGTGAGGGCTACAAACCCTACCCAGGCTCCTGCAGTGTTTTTGTTGAGAGTGTTGTGGTGCTCCTGCTGCTTTCCTGCACAGGGGAGAGTATAAACTATTCCTCCAGGAGAGTATAAACAATTCCTCCTGCCTGCCAGGATGCCCAGGGCACACGCAGGCACAGCCTGGCTGGGTCAGCACTCTGCCAGGGCTGGATACTCTTACAGGAGGTGGGACTATGGAAATCAGTTAATTAAAGGTAATTTTAACCCTTCCTGCCTGGTTTAGTGTCACAGCATCACCCACTGCCTGTGCTGGGACTGCAGCCAAGGAGGCATGACTTCAAAATGTGTAATTATCACAAAGATCTATAAATGCACCCAAAGGTAACTCTGCTTTCCTTTTAAAGAACTGGAGCATGATATGGCCTGTGCTTTGCCTGCAAGCATCCTGGCTCTGGCAGCACTGAGCCCTGTGCCCAGATCCCAGTGAGATCTCAGCACAGCCTCTAGTGAGATTTAGAGGGATGATATCCTCCACACACATACCAGACTCTCTCCCAGCAGGGTCAGAGTGAAGCTGGATGAGGATCTGGAGTGGTAAAAGCAGTCACATTGTGAAGCAAATGGAATAAATATTTCCCCAACCAGAAACTATTCCACAGACTGCTGGGGCAGGAAAAATTACAGCTGAGTTACTGTGAAAGCAATGCAAAATCCAAACAGTTTAGGCTGTGGAAACCAGTCATTTGCAAAGCTATTTCCAAACTAAGTAAAAAATTCCCAGCTCACAGATTCCTGGGAACCTCCCAGCCCTACTGGTAGGGCAGGCTGGCTGCACAGAGGGGACAAAACTGTGTCCCCTTCCCACATACCCGTCAAGCTGGGGGACACTTTGTGATTTCCAGCTCCCCCAGCACACGGGGCTTTGCTGATTGACACGTCCCCACCATCTCTCCCTGCAGCACCGGCTGAATGTTTAACCCCCAGCTCAGACTGTGCTCCTGAGGAGGCTTCAGGTCTGAACTCAGGGAGTTTGGCCATCCCCACACCCCAGCAGCTGCCTCCACCTCTGTGTGCAGGGCTATATTTGGGAAGGCAGCAGAGCTCTTGGCATGTTCCAACGAGCACCCTGGGAGCGCTGCCTGCTCTGGGTCCTAGAGAGGAGAGCTGGGGGAGCGTGCTGGCTGCTCTCCCCACCTGGGCTCTTTAAGAGTCTGCCTCGGAGCTCCCTGTCTTTTCCAAACAATTTTCTCTTCTCCTTTTACAGGAGCTGAGCCGCCAGGCAGGCATGTGTAAA